GGTTAAGGTTTCATCTTCACTTAATGTCTGAATCTAACAAAAGTTGTTAATTAAAATAGTTGGTTTTATTCCCACTTAATGTCTAAATCTAATAGAAGGTGTTGATTAAAATGAATTAAAATAGTTCAGGGGATAAATTAAAAAAAAATAAAAATTGAGGGGCAATTTAAAACAAAATTACCAAAAAGTTCTAGGGTTATTTATGTAATTTAGTCAAATAATTTTCAAGTTAAGAAAAACATGTTTGTTTGATTTATCTTGTTTAGAATAAATTGCACGAGCATGCTCATGAGATGCAACTATAAATCCAACGAGGCAATTTTGGAAACAACACAAGAAATCCACACAAAGTTAACAGGTTAAGATTGATAAACACTCGACGCGAAGTCGAAAATGATATGACCTGTTAATATTAATAATACAGTTGTCAAGTTAGTAACGAATATGAATAACTTAAATTTGAAATTATAAACACGTCCAACAGGTAAAATATAAATAAAATGACTATTTTTTGTATTTTTATATTACATATTGACATGATTTTTTATAAATGGTAATTTTTTTTGGCTTGGCTTGTTTTTCTTATTAAGTAGACTTTAGATTTTCAACCATATCTCGTATCGGCTGTTGTGTAAGGGTTGATCTTGGCAATCTGCCAAATATTGTATAAAGTTGCTGCTACTTCGTCCTCTTCGTTGCCTGCTTCAATCAATTGTATTTCAGCTCGTGAAAACGGAAACATACTAAATTATATGGTGGGTTTGGTTGGAAAATAATGAGATCTTAGTATTATATTTTAATTCATGGGTTATATGAGTCAACTCAAATACGATACGATTATAAACAATTCGGAAGGACATATCATACAAATAAATAAACAGATTGAGTTAGAGTTGACTAATACTTACACGAATACGAAATGATACGACCTGAATGTCACCTTTATGTAAATCTAAATGCACGAAATTGGAGAGTAAGCTTGCCAATCAAATTTAGATTTAAATGCGATTGGAATATAATCAAGCAATAATTTATATTTTTACATAATTGAATCCAAATCTATTATATATTGTTTCATATTTGGATTCAAAAATAAAAATATTTAATCCAATTGTCATCCTCGATGAGTTATGCATAGATATTTATGTGCATATATAATGAAGTTCAGTGATTATTTAATCAAATTGAGGTAAAAATCGAAAATAATTAACTAAAATGTTGCTTAATTAGTTATTCAAATCAGATCGAAAGTTACATATTTTAATCGAAGATGATTTATTTTGTAAAATAAAATCCTTCACATATTAGGATCGAATTATATTCAAATCAATCGAAACTAATTGAATCTTATCCGTTGACATACTTATACCTCTCTCTTTTTTTTCAGTTATATAATAAACGAATTTAATTAGTCTTTTTAGGTGTAAATTATATGATGTCACGTACAGTACTAAAATATAACAGATAGCATACACTTGTTACTTAACCGAGCTTGGGATGATTCTATTGAGGCCAAAAGGCCTCTAGGTTTGGTCTGTTTGGATGATCACTGCATTTGCGTACTGTTAGCTAAACCCAAGTTATTTTAGGCCCAAATTTTATGTATCACTAATTCTTGGGCTTTTAAAAATTTATCTAACCTGACTCGTGTTCATCAGACGATGATGCTTAACTATCTAGATCACCTGTCATGAGCTCATAAATGTACTGGGATGTTACGGGTTTTGTGCCTCGACATGACTAGGTATGCATACATTGTTGTCATTTCATCATCAACAATAAACTGAGTCGGCACAACTACTTGAAGAAGAGAAATAATGAGTTCATTATTTTTAATCGACGTTGTTTATTTTGTGGATGTGGAATAACTCAGTAGTTGTGATAGTTTATTTGGATGTATGAGAGGTGATGTTTGTGTTTCTTTGCTTGGTATAGGGTCGAAATACCCGAAACTACATATTGTCACATTTGCAGCTGTCATTTATTCACTATAATTGAGTTTAATTTTATTTCGTTCAATAAACAAATAATCTTTTCATTTAAGATAAAACATATTTAAAGGGGATGACTAACAATCCAATAATATTTGCAAAAATACTTTGGATTATTAATCATTCCCAATTTTTTTGGTTGTTGGCAGCTTGATAAGCTTTAACTCAAGTAACTGATTAAATATATCAAACACTTCAATATCAAAAAAGGGATAGTTCTTTCTCTTTAGGTTTTTTTGAACTTGGTCTTGTCTTTTTTTGAGTATGATCTTGAGTAATATTGACTTTGAAGTTAGTCTTCGACTTCTTATTAAAAAACTTTGTTGATGTGATGGCGATGGTAATTAATAGTTTCCTTTGCTTCGGAGGGTTTCACTTCCTTCTTCATATCTTTTTTTTTTTTATGAGAGTCACTTAGCAAGTAACTTTCGTGCTTGGAAATTTAGATCTCCAAGTCATAAGTTTGTATTGTAAGTTCTTTGAAAGTATGAGTTATGTTTCTTTGGAGAATGTAAAGTAATCCTCAGTGTATCCTCTAAATACACTTGTCAATTGAAGAAACTTGACTGATACGTGCATTTGTCTGTTTATCTCATATCTTGATCTGTACTTTTTGGGTTACAATATATTATTTTATTACTATTTTTATGTTTTTTATTTTTATTTTGTATGTTATTCATAAAAAATTGTAGTATTATATGATCAACTATCAGTATACATTCATAATTTATTGTTTTTTTGTTTATTTTACTATGTTTTTAAATTTGTTATGATCTTTAACTTATTTATGTATGTAACGTTCACTTACTATTTTATTTTCTCTAATAACAATTTTATTGAAAGTTTTTTTATATTAATTACTTTTTATTATGGATCCTTTATGAGAATGAATAATTTAAGTAGTTGGTGTTTTTATATTTATATAGATGCAAAATTGAGTTTGAAAGAAGTAAAAAATGCGTTTAATTTATTTTTTATTTGTGAAAGAGAGAGCGAGAAATAATAATAAATTTTTTTTTATCCAAGTGTTAACGATTTTTTCTCAACTTAAAATATGTATATGTGAGGTAGATTATACTTTTTGGAACTGAATTTTAAATTTTATTTTCTTGACTTAATCTTAAGAAGGAATTCAAATTTTCCGGTACCCGATCAATTTCGACTTTACCCAACCCGATTGATCGGCTCCGCAAAAATCAGCAAGGATTTTTGATATTTCACAAACAGCCGGGAAGGAATGTGAAATATTTGCAAAATTTCCACCTTTCTACCGACCCGCTGTATATTTTTTAAAAAAATATATACGTGTTAATGTGTGCACAAAAATCCTAAAATCCCTAGCGCATCCTCTTTCTTCTTCTCTCAGTCGATGGATCCCTAGCGCCTCCTTCTCTTCGAGTCTCAGAGACTCTCGCCTCTCTCGCCGCCTCCTCTTCGAAGCCACAAGCATCCTAGGTTCTCTCTTTCTCCCTCTCTGTATGACAGTGTCTGTGTGAGTCTTAATTCCTCTTGTTTTTCTCAAATTGAAATCATAAGCTAAATTATAATGGGTTTTAATCTTTGATCTGTATCTCATTATTGAACTCTAAAATTTGGGGCCTTTTTAATACGTAGGAGCCCATGCTTTTTTGACTCTACTGTTGAACCGGCCTTGAGATGGTTTTTAAGTGCATAGTATTCCATATTGTTCTTACGTCGCCAAGTTTTTGACCTCCCAACACAGAATAGATTTGATTTTTGGCTAGAATGGACTTGCATTCCATTATAAGTGGTGAGCACACTTATTGTGTTGCATGTTTTTTTTTTATGAATTTGGTGTATCCTGCTAAACCCTTAGTTGAAAGAAGAATGGGATTCCACTGCTGCTAAAAAACCTTTGTGGTATCATTGATTTTCGGTTGGAAACTATCATTAGGATATACAAGGTCATAAATCACATAGAAATTTTACAGATTTAGATAAGGATCATATTTGTTCCTTTCTCTAATGCCAATATAGTATCCCAACAAAATATTTTATTTTATCAAAAATATAATTATTTAAAGCAATAAAAATACAAATTTGATTGATATGTGTGACGAACATGTTTGACTTTTTTATTCCTCGACCAAGTATGGATAGATTATGATAGAATGAGAAGTTTTTGTTTGAACTTGTTCTAGCAAATGAAATAGTAGATCTTTTGTACTGGACTCGAATGGTATCTACAATTATATGTTGAAGTTCTTAGACAGACATTATATCAACGAATATTTGTGAAGAATCTCCCATGGCATTGGGTTGTTGGGGTTGGGTGATGTGGTTTGTGGCGATGGGTGGTTAGTGGTGGTGAGCGACAATAGTGTGTGGTAGTGACGGTGATGGTGTTAGGTGGTGTCAAGTATTGGTGGTGGTGATGGTGAATTTTGGGTGATGATTGTTGGCGACGATGAGTGGTGGCGGGGGTGGTGGTAGTGACAATGGACGGTAGTGATAGTGATTTTTAGATGATGATAATGGATTGATGATGATAATAATAATAAATATAATAATAAAATAATTATAGAGATTTTTAAATAACTTATTAAAAGTATTTTCGTTAAGGGTTGATTTTATGAATTTGTAACTTCAAAAATTTGAAGCCGAACCTAAAATAAAAAAGGTTGCTAAATTTTTACCTTTCGCAAATCATCCCTTTATAATTTGGAGATTAATAGGGTGATATAGGAATAGTGTCACACCCAATTGTGAAACTAAACTCAATTCTCCCCTCTCTTTCTCGCCGCTGCCTCCCCTCATTTCTTTGTGCCGTTGCTCATCCACCACCAGCAGAGTCACAGCCCAGCCAACGACGCTGCCAGGTACATGTTTCTCTCTCTCCTCACCAACCCTCTTCGGCACTGCCCCCATGCCACTAACCTTCCATTCCCAACCCATAACCCCTGGGCACGCCGCCAGTGATGAAATCCATGTGATGGAGAAACAGCCCATAAAGGAGTTAGATGATTGCTTCGATGATTGAAAAGATTGTCATGGAGCCACTAAACACATTATAAATTTGAGCGGCCTCGATGCTATTCAGTTGTATTCCTTTGTCAGATATACAATGAGGTTTGAAATCCACCCTTCTGCTCCCAGGACAAAGCTTCCAAATGTTATTGCTTTTGACCAAAAAAAAAAAAAGAAATAAAGAAAGATCAGGGTTGTTAATGGAGTCACGACCCAACGAACCTCTGCCTTCTGAAAATTTATGGTGTTTATATGCGGTCAACATATAATTCAGGTGGCTTTTGGGAGATGAGAAGAATAGGAAAGTTGTGGGCGGGAAAACATAATTCGAGGGTTTTTTTCTTCGAAATCGAAATGTATGAGGCTATTACAATGTATTTCGACAATGAGGATGTGGCCTCATTTTCATGCGCATAAGAATTTCTGAGATTCGACTCAACTGAGTTTTATTTCTTTTCTTTATGGGTGTATAAAGTTTTGATCAGATTTATTTTGTTTATTAATGATGCTACCGGGAAGATCAGAGATCGATCGTCATCCCGCAATGGTAACAATTTTTTATTTGATTTTTCTTATTTTTTGGAGGAAATTTAGAGTCTGTTTGGTTTGCGTTTCAAAAAATAGTATGAAAATAATTTTTTAAAAGAGTTTTAAGAAAGTGTGTTTTGATGTTTTATGAGATAAATAACTTATTTTGTTAGATGATTCTAAAAATAATTTTACAAAATAGAAAACAGTAAAATATGTTTGGACAATCTAGATATATGTTTGGATAATAATTCAAAAATTAATAAAAAAAAATATGAGAAAGTAATTTTTAGATGAACCAAACTTTAACATAAACCAATTTATATATAAATTTGCAATATCACTTTATAATAGATTCAATATCAATTTATATATAATATCAATAAATCAAACACCATTAATTTTTTTTTCAAAAAAATAGAAAATAACGCCATAAATCAATTTATATATAAAATCAATAAACCAAAAACCAATAAATTGAATATGGGCAAAAAAATAAAAAATAGAACAAAAAAAGATCAACACAAATTTGAACCCCAAGGTCTACTACCAGTAACAAAAAAAGTCACCACCCACAATCAACACATTTGACCGGGAAACAAAAAAAATAAAGTAATAGAGAGCCAAATTTATAATAAGTAAAAAAGAAGAAGATATATTTGGTATTCAACCCAAATCTGAAGAAAATCAGCCCAAATCTAAAGAAAATCAACACAGATTTGAACCCATATTTAAAGATCAACCCAGATCTGAAGAAAACCTAACCAAAGAAAACCACTTAACACCGACGTTGGAGAGAGAGAAAACCGATGTTGGAACCGACATTGGAGCCAACACCGAATAAAACCTATATTTGAAATCTGATGTGTTTGGTTTCGCCGGAGTGGAGAGAGAGAGAGGGGCAAAAAAAAAAGAGAGAGAGAGAGGCAAAAAAAAAGAAAGAACCTTTTTTATAGTAGGATATTTTTTGCTGCTAAGAAGGTTCGAAGGGGAGACCTCATTAATGAGGAATTTGGGTGTTCTCTTTTTTTCCTTCTTTTTTCTTTAAAACACCCAAAAACAAGCCCAACTTGTTTTCATTTTTCTGTTCTTTACATCCCTCTTTTTCCAAAAATTGGAGAACCAAAACTCAAACTAAATAGCTTTTTCTTGTTTATTAGAATTTTGAAATCAAAAAATTGTTTTCAAAAACCAAACCAAACAGGCCTTACATTCTTGGTTTGTAGTTTTTGGGTTTTTTTTTTTATTTCCATGGCAAATTTTGCATTTGTATGTTCATCAAATTGAGTTGTGCTTCTCTGTATGTCTTTTTCATTTCTTCGCATGGTTGAAATTGAATAATAGATCTTTAGTGCTTTGGTATATATCTGTTCAATGCTTCTGATACTTATCTTCTCTCTCTAACAGCAATCAGTTGCTATTCGGAAGGAGGTTGAGTGTTCTACCGGGCACATCACTAGAATTGATTGTGTTCTTATATTGGTTTTGTTAACGAATTGTCAGGTTTGCTTAAAAGTCCTATGACAAACACGAAAAAGATAGTCCAAAGTTTTGATCAAGAACGATGTTCCACACGTGTAATTTGTTTTTATTCCAGTAAATAATTGTTTGATTTGCTTGAGTTTGTATTTGCACTTTGCTGCTCTGATAAAAACTATAGGACAAACATATAAAAAAGGTAGTCTTGGGTTTCGATTAAGAATGATGTTCTAAATCGTGTGATGATCTTCTCCCTTTACACTTACTATTCTGTGCTTGGTGTTAAATGTTGCCCCTCAACAGCCGTCTTTTTTGCTCTTTGTTTGTTTTCTAGCTAACAGTTATGAAACAATTTAATGAGCTAATTATGAATTTTTCATTTCATATCTACTTTCTCTTTCAATGGGGTTCCATAAAAAAATCTTAAAACCCCACTATTCTGGTCACAAAGTAAATTTTGTGAGCTAATATTGTTCATACTTCTCTGTTTTGCAGCAATCTGGCATTTTCTCACTTTAGTTCATTACTCCTATACTTGTAAAAATTCATAAATTTGTGGGGATTTTCTCGCTCAGCCAATAATTTTAGGATGTTTCAGCATAGTCGATGAAATCAAAGGTTGTGGTAGCTGAAACAACAATGAAGATCAATATTGCTACGAATTGGCTATTTTCCTCGCCGGCATAACAGTAATTCGAAATACCTATAAAAAAGTTTTGAAATTTATATTTTAGTTTCTGATTCTTAATACAAAACAATGATATTTCTTGATTTTTGAGTGATTAAATTCGGTGATTAGCAAAAGAAAGTTGAATGATTGGTAGTCTGGAACCTGTAACTGTAACTCTAATCATGTTTTATAAGTCATGGAAATATATTCTTCTATACAACTGTAGCCACAAAAGGATGGGGATTTCTATTATTTTGGTGTCACTGAATTGCTATGAAGTATGAACATCTTAATTTCTAAAGGTGTAGGATTTTGGGTTCTTGACTTTTTGGTATAAGTTAATGGATAAAGCCATTATACAATTGTTATCTCAAGTTTATTGTGTGTTCTCCTGTTTTACGTTTTTATGATTTGTGAAAGAGGTGGCATCATTTGACTTCAAAGAGCTGTGTCTACATCTGCAAGGTGATTTCACTAAAGATGGTGACTGGCCGAAGATCCATAGGCAAATATTCGAGAATTTTCAAAGATGATTGGTTTATGTGATGATTGTTTGCTGCTAATAATTATGGGTTTGGAGTTGTATTTCAGCATTAACTTTTCTGTTTTTTTTGAAAACTTTTTCTCTTCTGGAGCTTGTTCCGATGGTGCATTATAGTAATAATTTTAATGTTTCATGGTGGTGTTGTTGCTGGTTCTATTGGCCCTGTTTTGGTAGCGATTGTTGATGTATTGGTTCCATATGAATTAATATCAAGCTCTACGTACGTGAACATTTCCATAGATATCTCTAAATTGGTTTAGTAATAACTACAACTTTAAATTACTAACAGTTTATTTTGGTTTGGCATTTTAGCCTTTACTCTTATAGAAGTACGTGTGTCTCTTACCCCATGAGATGTTGACACTGTTGGTTGGAAACCTTTGTAAGTTGTGGGGGTAGCCAATAAATAAAAGCCCCAATTTCTGGGTTTTAGTTTTTTTTTTTTTGGGAATATGTAGTTAATGTTTGCGACCATACTACATTCAATCAATTTTTTTGTTTGTTTTATGTAGTGCCTTTAGGCATGGGTTTATTGCTAGTAAACATATATTGTAAGTATTATTCTGTATTCCCGTATCATAGACGTGTCCAAAATTAAAAAATAAATTAATTAGTTGTGGGATACGTGTATGATGTATCTGATTCATATCTCTGCGTATCGGTATCTGATATGTACGCTGCCCTGTTTTCATAGATCAGAAGGCTCCAAGTGAAAGACAAAGCCTCTCTCTCTTTCGTGTAATATTGTTAATTATATGTTTGTTTGTTTGTTTCTGAAATTTGAACCAACTCTCTATATGTTACATTGCAGAAGTTTTTGAACCCACAAGGTTGGATCTATCAACCAAAGTTAAGGTCTACCATACCACATGGACAAAGGATATGATATTTTAGGGAACAATAGTATAGAAGATGTTCGATGGCTTTGTTCTCTCTCTGAGTCTGAGCTTGTAAGTTCTGTAAATTTCTCTCATCCTGTAAAATTGATTTTGCTCTTGGTCTTGAAGGTCTAATGTTTTGCTTGTCTTCACTGTCTCAAGGATTTTTTAATTAGCTTAAAAATGCTGGTCATTCAACGTGCTAAAAAAATTGGTCAGGAAGCTCTAGCCAACAAGTTTGATTTGAGGATGCTTCGAGCCCTTGGTATGTTCTTTGTCCCTTCTTTATTCAATATGCATCTATGCAATGGACAAGTTTTGTGTATTGAAAACTGGGTTTCTTTCTATTTGCTTTAAAATGCACTGAAAAGAGTAAGGATGTTCTACAGTTTTGTCAACTTGAAGAGGATACTGAGAGGCATGGATTGGGTATAGATTTAACCTTTGGTATTTTTTTCCCGGACTGCCCTTTGATTCGAATAGAAGCAATGGCCTCTGAGTGTATAGAATAATTTTTGTTAGATAGTTTCTAATGCAGTGTGTTTATTGACTTAATCTATATTAGTGCAAACAATAGGTATTTCAGGAAATCAAAGTGCATTGTTTTTTCTAATACAGAAACATGAGAATTAACATGTAAATATCATTTTATGTTAGATATTATATTATATGCAGTCACATCCCCTTGTGTGGTACTCTTGGAACAGTTGATTTTGTTGACCGTGACTCTCATCATGTAGAAGTGAGTAAATGGTGTCCTTTTTGTATTTTGATTAGTGAGATGGTGAGAATGATAGAGTTCAGAGAGAAAATGAAGAAAGTTTTTTGAATCTTACAGCGGCCTTACATCACTATATATAGGCAATACATACATCACACTTTACATCGCGCTCTCAAGATCTTAACTGACTAACTAACTCTCTAACAAACTAACTGTGTAACTCACTTTTATGCATTTTCTAGATATCAGGAATTTAAAACATCCTAAGCCTTAACAGAAAATCTGTTTTTCTTCTTATGCTACGAATTTCATTTGTTTTGATATAGCCATAACTTGCCTATCTTATTTCTGGTCATTCAGATTTTTTATTGTGGTTTATTCGCATCTTAGCACTGAGCATTTTACAGGTTTCATTTTAATGGAGCATTTTAGCGTGCAAGTTAAGGACGTGTCAGTGATTCCATGTTTGGCTGAGTCATCTGCATTTTTAGCTGGATGCAATTTATTAAAGCATAATCTCGATGACAGTTTTAGTAATATGAGTATTGAAGACTTGAAGGCATTAGTTGGCTCTGACCAAAGAAAGAGAATTGCTGAAATGTAAGTTGAAGCTGCAATAGTCATTGGTTCATTGCTAAACTAAATCATACTTAATCTGTATGAGGTGGGCGTGTTTTAAAGGTTTCTCAAATGATTTGGGCTCAAGGCCAAAAGGCCTACTCATTCAGTTGATTCTTTCAGAGTGCCTTCTTGTTTACCCAGAACTGCCCACTTCAATAAACTGTAATTTACTTTAATGGCCACTCCAGCAAATTTTTGTCTACTTTCCCACTATTTGGGTTTGAAGATGCAAAGGTTACAAAGTCACTGCACTCTACATTAGGAGAGTGATACTTGTGGTTTTTCTGACTTTTTTCACCAGTAATAAGTCCAATATGTTTTAAATGATATCCAAGGGTGTAGCAAATAACTTCATTATTCAAATAATATATTTGTTTTAATGGAAAAATAGTGGTATTAGGCGCCTTTTTTTTATAAATATATTTTAGGATTCATTTGTTTTCTGTGCAGGTTTGTGGATGAGATTGCTCTCAACCAGAAGAGAAAACTGTAACCGGAATGTCCTTGTAGATGGTTCAAGTGATTACATTCTCCTATTGTCTATACGACTCCTGTTCTTCAGAGCCTTTGATTGCATTTTGTCCTTGGGATGAGGAGAGTTCCTACCAATGTCTTATTAGGTCTTATCATTCGCAATTTCGCATCATTGATTCTGATAATTTTGATTTTTGCAAGTTTATTTGTTGCTTTTTGGCCATGTATTCTTTTTCTTCGTTATCAATTTTGTTTTTGATCTGTTCCATATGTTTTTTTCCAGTACGTAGAAATTAGCAACCATTTGTTTATATTCTTTTACCGTACCAAATTTACATACTTTCATGTGTCACCGGAGGATCCATACATGGAGATTATGGTCATCTCAAGTTTAATGCAACTTCTAACAGTTGTGGGTGTTGCTTGAATTATTCATGCATGCTTTCATTTCTCCTATTCTCTTTTGTTTCAGAAGAAATATTTAAATCATTCATGCATTAGAACTTAGAAGCTTAGGAAAGTTCATCAGAATGAACAGGTGTTGAATCCCAGCTAGTCTTAGCTATGCTGGTTGATTTGCAATTTTGCATAACCCAACGATTTTACTGCTCTCAATAGGCTCTGTACTATAGGCCTGTTTGGTTAATGGGTAACGGGTTATAAGGACCATTTCTAGATTTGTGGTGTTATCTTTGTGTATGGATCATGCTAATCTTCTCTGTATTGTTCTAATTTTATGGAAAGTCCTCGAGGGGACAGGAAAATGGTTATTATAAAAGGCTGGGATTGGAAAAATTAATCTGGTGACCCACATTTTGATGTTCGGATCTTTTTACGTCAATTCGATTGAAAAAATTGGACTTTTTGTGGCCTGAAATGAACAGTTCTTTGAGCCATACAGGTTCATGTTATTTCACATAGGGATGGATTTTTGTGAGCATGAGCTTTGGTGCGGTGATAAGATTATTCCATAATAAGCGTTAAGGATTTGGGTTGCAAAGGTAATCTTTCGATGCAATAGGAGTTGTGTGTACATTTGACTCTTTTGGGACCTGTAATGAGAGTTTTGTGTATTGGGTTACCCTTTTCATTTGGGTTGGGTTATATAATCTCACCTGTAAGGTAAGCGAATTTTTACTATTTTACTCTCATTTATGTGCAAAAACACTTGAAATAATAACAAAAAAGAATACGGTTAATGACATGAACAACAATAGAATTAGCCTTTTCTCCAAAAAGAGTTGAGAACGGACAGATAAAAGTGATGAGCAAACAGTCTTCAAGAAGATGTGTTTATGTGTTTGTTCAATCACACCATTCTGCTTAGGAGTGTCTGCACAAGGAGATTGATGTATAGTTTCATCAAATTTTAATAAGTCAAGAAAATCATTGTATCTATATTCACTCCTCAAATTGCACTGAAAACATTTAAGTACTAAAGAATATTGTGTGTGAGCCATGCCCAAAAAAGCAACAAAGATCGAGAAAAATTCATATCATTGTTTGATTCTCAAAAGGCACACTCAAGTGCAAGCGATCAAGAAATAGAAAATATATAATAAGTTCAAGATCGAATCGCATGGATTAAAAGAAATTTATGAATAAGATAAAGGAAGAATGAAGATTTTTGAAAAATAATTGAATTAGTTGAAGGATGAATGCAAAGTAAAATCTAATGTAAAATTTGAAGAATGATATTCAATTCATTTGATTGATATGAAAATAAAATTTAAAGAACTAATTTTATAAAATTCGCAGGAAATCATAAATATGAAATATATATCGGGAAATAGATAATCAAATAATTTTATAGAGTATTAATCGATACACGTGAATAGCATAGGGTGGAGTTAACTCAAAAAAAAAAAAATGGATAGATGGCGCCGATAGAGCTCAATTATTTATGGTTTTGTTTTTCGGCCAGTCACATGGAAAACCAATTTTCGGTGAAAAGCCCCAATTTTCGTCGATTCAGTATTAGCCTCGCAGTACCTATCCCTCTATCTTTCTTGATCAGTTTGTCTGTTTCCATTTCGCAATTGAACGGTCAGTTCTCTTCTCTCCGTGATTGATTTTGGGTGTGGTATATATAGTGATGAGCCTTGGAAGCTAGAAGATTGCTTTACCCAGTGCTGAAGGGAAATGAAAACTAATAGACAAATAAAGATTGAATGTGCCCTCGACTACAAATAGAATGGCTTATCTATGCGTAATGATAAATGGGTTTACAATGATTATTACTCATTAAAGGGATATTTCTTGTAACACTCCAAAATTCATATTAGACGGTATTACTATCTAAAAATCATTCACATCACGAGAGTAATTAATAAGACCCATAAATAAAGATAATTTCATTCATCATCCATAATATATACAACATCGTCCAAAAGAATATGTCAAACCGTGGACATTACATCCAAAAGAATATGTCAAACAATGACAATTACGTCTAAAAGAATATGCCCAAACTATTATCTCGCAGCGAAATAAGAAAAGTATCAACATGAACATTTTCTCAAATGAAACTCCTAGTCTAGTACATAACAATAGCAATTCTAGACATCCCCTCCGGATCCACATGCCCATCCACTTCAACTTTCTAATTTATCTGCTCATCAACTCCGAGCTCTTTCTCTAAACCAAGATCTAAAAATAAATATTGTGTGTAAGGGGTGAGCACTAAGTTCTGTAGAAAAATCTTCTCAAACTTGAACAAGATTTTGAAAACATATAAAACGAGTCGGTCTCATTTTACAAGTATTATATATAACTTTTGAAAGAAAACAGTGACAGTTCATCCGATCTCAAGTTTAAACAATATCAATAATTAAAAAAATAGATAAAACAAATTCTCAACAATAAACCATTTTCAATCATAAACCTTTTTCACAATAACAAACACTACCCATAATTTGTATCATTTCCAACAATGTATATCAAACCACAACTTCGTATCTTTCACAACATTATATATATATGTATCTCATGTATGATGTATGATTTCTCATGAATAAATATATCGAGAATATCCTGGCTCACACATACACACCCAATCCTCTCAAGGATATCTAATTTTTAGGAAAGGTGTAAACCAACACATTGACAGTGACGAATCTAACTCAGGAATAGTATACTAACTCTCATCCTCGGTATCCATGAGCGAATAGTGGTTTGGTCCTCACAAGACACCAACCCCACTACGAGTGGTAGAAAAAATTTAATCCCACACGGAGTAGGAAACACATTTACCCACTCTACGATACCTGGTCAATGGTCACCTATGGTCATCCAAACATCCATATGAAATACAATTCCCAACAATTTCTCAAATAATAAGCAAATTCTAAAATTTCAAATTTCACATGTAGTATTACCATAGAACAATTTAAGAAAATAAGTAAGAGATCATTAATAATACCATTTTATTGTTCAATATAAAACACTAAAGTTTTGAAATCAAGGACAAAAGATAAATCAAGAAAAAATTAATTTCTCTTGAAAACTAGGGTTCTAAGGCAAGAAAAAGAGATTTGATAGCTATTCCACCATAGCTTCCTTCAAAACATGAGAATCTTTGCAAAAATATCAAGAAGTAAGGATTTCATTGCATATATATATGATTGAGAGTGAAAAAAATACATATATGTAAGTCCTAACCTCAATGAACAAGAGTGGAAAGAAACCCCTACCTTGAATCAAAAGTTTCAAGCAAAGTCCAAGTTCTAGAGACTTTCTTCTTCCCTTTTCTTTCTTCCTTTATCTTCTCCTAGGGTTCTAAGTGGTTTGGGGTGAGAGTGCAGTGAGAGAATTAAAGAAAATGGGATGAAAATGGTGTTTTAAAGTCAACCCAATCCCAAAATTTACTATTCATAGGACCAAAAATTACATTTTTTTCTCATAAATTAAGGTTTTGTCACTAAATATCTCCAATTTGATTTCTATAATACCCTAAGGTTTTTAGACGTTTTGGATTCATTTTTAATGTTATTTTAACCTAAAAATATTTAATTTTATGATTTATCTTTATACTAAAGTAAATTTACACTCGAAACACTAAAATTACTATTTTATTTCTTTGAACCGCTATTAATAAAGGTTTAAATCGATTAACCTATTCGAGGTCTAACATACCATCATTGGTATTCTATTATTGTCCTTTTATAACATTTGAATGAAAGAATGCATAGTCCCAAAGCTCGGCAAAATAGTTTTAAAATTTCTGATTTTTAGAAAGAATACCAGTACATTGTATTGGTATTGTATGCCCTCTGGACAACGTGGTACCAGTACTGTTTGTCTAGATTTGCCTATTTCACCTGTTTTTCATTTTCAATTCATTCCAAACCCTTCCAACACCAATCCAAACTTATATAACATATATTTGTACATCAAACATAGTTGGTATAAGTTCTACTACAAACGATTTTACATATTTATCCCAGTTTTACAATATTAGTATTTTGAAAAATAAATGATTACTTGTTATATAAAGATCAGAGTGCGGGAAGGAAAGTTACATTTCTACCCCCTATCAACTTGATCTTTTTGCCCTTGTCAACAAGCATGCAAGAATCATTTCACGTACATCCAGATAAAGTCTCAATTGCTATTTCCAATTATAGGGTTGAAAAATACACGCGCATACAGAGACACTCATAATTTAAAGAAATTATGATTTGATATTAGAATATATCAAAAATATGTTTGTTGTCCCACATAGGATTGGGACACTACATATTTACGGTATTCTATTAGAGAAGTGAATGGATATTAAGAAAGGGAAGAAATTAAGTTTGAAGAGTAAGTATCATGAGAAATATAAGGCGAGGTGCTTGACTTCATGGTTGTTGAGAATCGAGATTATAACTCTAATTGGGAAGTTGAAGTTGAATTGGGGGATTTATGGTGCACTATATGAAACTGGGGAAGATGGTTTAAGGGTGGCCTAACATAAATTGGAGCCTATTATTGGACATTTTATAGAAAGATGCGATATGATTTATTTTAATGTTTTATGAGTTTTGGGATCGGACAATAAATTATATGTAATTATAAAATCAGGATCTTATAGATCAATAAATTAATGAAGTCTTAAAAAGATAAAAAAAAAAAGTTAAAGATAATGACAAATAATCAAAACAAGGTAATGAGAGTGGGAGGGAAAAAAATAATTGAAAAGAGGTGGTGAGAGTGAATGAAAAAATAGTGAAAAGAATTAGAGGGATTGCAACTTTTAAAGCTATAAGTCGTTATTATTATATATTTTTTTTAGAAGAATTTGTTATATTTTAGAATTTTTTATAAGGTTTACATAGACTTGTGAAATTGTTATATTCTTTGATTTTTTTTATAAGACTTTAGATAAATTTGTGAAGTA